TGCTGTGCTAATGCAACAATTTTTCAAGTTTTGATTATTTTTGGTATTTAGACGTATAAAACATTCTAAGCCCCGACTAGAGTGTGCCTTTGCTTGTGTGTTCGGTTGCATTTGCGTCATTTCACTGTTTGTTTCTGTGCAAAGCATTAGCAAAATGTGTCGGTCTGGGCTCAAGAGTATGTTATAAAAATATTTGTTATACACGTAAAAACATCAATAAAAAGGTTTTTACCTCCAATCTCATTATGCCCAGTATCATGTGTTTTTGCTGATGTTGCCCGCTTCTATTTATTGCTGCGGCGCTCGCTATATATCCTTTGTCAGGCCCATTATTCATTTTGTATTTGGGTTACGTTTTATGTTTCTTTTTCATTTTTTGTTTTGTTTTGTTGGCCTCTAGGCTTGCCGTTTTCAGAAATTACATTTAGGTACGTGTTAAAATTGACGACGTAACAGGTTGTAAATAAAATTATATTACATTTTGATTTATTTAATGTGTGTACACATTGTGTAATACATAATATATAATATATAATATATAATATAATATATAATATATAATATATAATATATAATATATAATATATAATATATAATATATAATATATAATATATAATATATAAATAATAATAATCATAGGAAAAACAATAAAGGTAGTAATAACATAAAGTGACCTAATAGCATTATTAGAATTATTATCCTAATGCATATAGGTTATTTTATAAGATTTTATTCCTTGTTCCAAGTAATAAACTTAATTAGTTAAATCTATTTTTAAGAGTATTTTGGTTGTGGCCAATTTCCAAAACTTGGCATGAAAACTCTTGGACTAGTTTTTAGAGCAAACGCATAACTTGGGTATATGAAATACTTAAATTGACTAGTAAATAATATATGTTACGATTACTATAACGCATTGAAATACATTTTAGTTGGATTTTTATTAATCGAGTGATTATATTTCAATTGCATTGTGGCTCATAGTAAAGCTTCTCTGTGTATATTGTTATCAGATATAATCTTGAGTTAAATGCAATTTAATGAAAAGCTTATCTGTAGATATATTGAAGTCAGAGATTCTTTACGGCTAATGATCCAAAGGAAGCACACTATTGGCTAAAAATGAAAATAAACTTATGCACTTTTAAGATATTTGATACTCGCTGCTGCAAGTATATCGGCAAAAATTTCATACCATAATTAAAACCATTTTTTTAATTGGACTGCAGTGCAAATACAAAACGAAGCTCGATTAAAGTTCGAAAATCAATTCCTTATACTCGAACGCATTGCTTGTTCAATAAAATGGGCGGGAGGTACAAGAGAATTATAATAAAACCCAGAGTTTTGATCAATTTTTCGTCGCAACTTTTAAAGCGACGTACATATTACATATTTTTCTTTTTACTTTTCTCAATGCAAGCCAATAATTTCTGCTTGGAACATATTCGCAACAACAATAACAAGCTAGATATTATGGCAAACAATTGCCGTATCCTGCGGAAGAAAAATGCACTGGCAACCGAACCTGACAGAAGCACCTTATAATCTATGCTTTATGGACACCGAATTGCCAGACAGTTTACGTTTCTTTTGGAATAAAAAATGAAGAACTGAAAATAATATTAATGAGGTTGGAAAAGTAGCAAACTGCTACATGAACACCAAACGCATTCGGTGTTAAAAGAAAAGTACAGGAAAATAAAATAAAGGAGAAAATCTTAATCGTGATTTTATTACGGACCTTAATTGCGAAATATAGCAGAAACTACAAAAAAATATATAGATGACAAATTAGAATACTCTAGACGGGACTGCTCGACTAGGAGATTCCCTGCAATCCGCGCCGAGCTGACGTCACACGCATTATTTCGTCCCTGTGCACACTGCGCTGCTATATACTTTACCTCCATTTGTACATTTTTACAATTTTTTAAGTGGAGGGGAGGTTTCATGGGCAGTTATCCGCAAAGTTAAGTATTCGGAATCGTTTATAACACTATATTATATTATACAACAGTCTAACTATCTCTTTTAAGCTGCAATATATTTTTAAAAACTAAACATGATTTTGCTATGGATTTGCATTGATTTGATGGAATCGGTAAGAGTTATCGATACTTTGAAAAAAATTCGTACAGCGTGGGCGCTACGTTGACCCGACTTAAGCATTTCAAGTCTCGATACCTTCGTACAGACGGACATAGCTAGATCGACTCAGTTATTGATACTAGGCAAGTATATATATGTTACATACACACATTTGCACAAGCCCATTAAACCCTTCTTACTCATTTCCAAGGGCTCAGAGAAGAAATTGAGTGCAATTGGAGCTCCGCATTACTCTAATCGCAATGTGACAAAAGTTTTAATGAAATCGAAAATATTCGTCGACCATTAATAAATAAATAAAAAAAAAATTGGCTTGGTTACTTAAAAGTTTACCTTAAATCAATTTTAGAAAAAAAAAATGTAATTTTGATAATAAAATAAGGTTGTTTCATACCGATATTGAAGTGTATGACACGCCGATATTTGAACTACGAACTACATCTTAATGAGGAGAAAATGTCAGCGAATTGCGAAAGGCGAATGTGTGCTTTGTGGTGCAACCTGGAAAATAAAGTTGTTCGCTTGTGGTAGACAATATCTATCAGAAGAGGAAAGAAAAAATCAAATAAACCTAGCGAGCTGGTGAAATTGAAAGAAAAGACGGCGCATAGATAAGCAACTGCAATGTGCCGCACTTGGCCCGATTTTTCTCCAGTTTTAGTTGTAGCTGTTGTTGAGTCTGCACAAGTTTTATGACCTGCTGCGCAACTTTTTTGCAAAAGGCCATTTATCATTAGAACAAAGCAAGGGAAAGCATATAAAAGGAGTGCCAGTAAGATTGAGCGCAACTAAAATGGCAGCATACTTGCAACAACAAACGAGTGTGTTTAATTAAAATCTCAGCAGTAAATAAATCCAGTAAATAATTTACGACACATTGGCAAGACCTACAACTGAATTAAATAAATTATATATCCGTAAATATAGTATGACATGGCTTTTTCTTTTTATCATTTCGCGCAAACTAAAAAGATTTTCTCTAACCTATTGCAGATTTTTCTATATGCTGTGAAATATGGTCATACACATTGAAATTGGAGAAAGAGGAACGTGAACATGAATAAATAAATATAGGAGTTATTCAAGATCTTGGAATTCGTTAAGAATTGTGTTCTTTCTGCATAGATAATATTAAATAATAAGATATTTATCTCAGTTGAAACACTGAAAAAGTGAAACTCTTAAAACCATTATCTTTCAATTTAATGAAAAATATGCATGCATTTCCAAAAATGATTAGAGCTTAACTATCAGCAATTAAATCTAGGTGCTTTTTATTTCGCAAGGGAGTTTACTTCTATCATGAAGCTCAGTATTTAAAATTGTTTTTCTAGTTTTCAAAGAAAACTAACTGATAGACAACATAATTTATGAGCGACAACAAGAGCGCTCGTTTTTGAGTCATTAATCATTATTTAGAGCATGTTATGCAACTAGATTTAGACTGATTTAGCTGACCGGCGGGTAGCGTGAAATATTGTCGGAGATGGAGAGGCAAAAAGCTAATGTTTAATTATATAAATGTCAGTGCGCTTAGCCATGTGCGCATACACTCGTTTCACTTTGTGGATGAGTGACAAAATATTAAAACTAAATATGCAGCAGAAAAGGAGTACAAGGTTAAATAGTTGACTAGATCTGTGGCATTGGTTGAAAGGTAAAATAATTGACTAGATCTGTGGCCTTGGTTGAAATCCGAATAACCCCCTGACCGGTGATAACACACAATATAACCCTATTGCGGTTGCACTTTCATTACTATTACGAACAAAACCATAAAAGGAACATCCACAAAAATCAATTTAAAGTTGTGCACTGGACATAATTACAAATCACAGACTGTCTCAGTCTTTGGTCGGTTACGCTTGGCCACACTCAAATAACTTGACGTCAAGTTGATACGTTTAACGCAAGACTTAATGTTTCCATCAAGTGCATTTAGCCGAGGAGGGCTACCACTGCCGATATATATCGCCACGACAGTGAACGTATAATTGCCGACTCATCAATAGCAGAGGGTGTTCAGCCACTGACTCTCATACACACAGACTATCTTTGCAAAAGAAGAAAAGGTCGGTGAATGCGTTGATGCTGTGAAGGAGCAGGAAAATAGCTGGATGTGATGGTGCGTATCACAAGCGCATCTTATGTTTGTGGCCACAATGACTTAAGCTCGTGCAGCTGGATAAAGCAACATCAACAAATATATCAACAAGAACAATTGATTCTGCGGCCAGCTCTAGCTCGGTCACCCAGGCCCACATAGTGCCAGCACTGGTCACTGACATACCTTGTTTGGCTCTTAGTAGTATTAGGGAATTCAATTAGCATATGCTTTATGCATGAGACACGCAAATATACACATATTTAGATGTCCGGCCCGTTCAAGCAATACACATTTCTTCTATAATTCATAGCACATTTGATGCTATAAACTTTTATATTTTTATTTATCTTTCCCAACTTTTAGCTCCACTCTTACAGGAGACACACGTGGGGAGCATAAACCATGTCAAGCTCTCTCTTCCTTAAAAACACACGAACACAAAACACACAGTTGGGGTTGTGCGTGCCAGTTGCTTTTAAATGCACCACGGGGCGTATGCGTAATCTTGCTCGTACTTGGCAGTGCAAATACAAAATTCTCATTGCGTGTAGATTTTTCCTTCTGCACTCTGCTTTTACATTTCTGACCCAGCTGAAAGAAGGTCGCTGCAACTTTGTTGACTGGCAGTTTGAAACTCACCGAAATGTCTTTTTCCTGGGTTTCCTTTTTTGTGGATAAAAAAGTATAGGAAAATAATTTTGCTAACACAAAGGTGATTTTTGACAGTTGTCGGCTTGATATTTAATTTAATTTTAGTTTGTATTTCATTTAACTAGCTTCAATTGAATAAGTTAAAAAAATTGTCTACCTAAAATCACAGTCTTCTTTCCTGTCTCTGCGTGCTAAATATAACGGGGAGCCCCTATACTATTGAAAAGAATTCAATAAGTTGTTAAGGATAAGGATGAGTTCATATAAATCTAGAGCTAGAGATTGAAAAAAGTGGAAAGTGAAACAAAAAAATTCAGAAAAAAGGTAAGAAAGAAATATTTTCCGCATATAAAAGCGCTCACAAAAAATATCCTTCACATATGTATGTAAAATTTGAAATGTTCTCTAAAATAGAAAAACAATCAGAAATGGGTGGAGGGCGGCGCTGGCTGCCTTTCCCAATGTCCTGCTGTTAAATTGATGAATGCGTTGCCATCGCCAACTCAAAACTTACAGAATCAGGAACAACAACGCCCATACCAACAACAACTGGAACAACTCGCACAAATTTTATAAATGCAGATGGAGGCGCAAGCAATGAAATCCTACTGTGGACAGGACGCGTCGCTTATTTTGGTAATAAACGCAGTCCCACTCGGGTAATGTATTGGATGTTTAGAGCTTTAGAGCTTGTGTGTGTGTGAAACTGTAACTAAAGTGAACAAATCAACATTTTATGATATATCGAAAGTTGGTGCTCCCAATATCCATGTTCTCCTCTCTTTCCCACTCTGCGGCTATCCACCATTGGCCAGCGGCTATTACTTGTTGGTGTGAATGTGTGATGTGGATACAGGCTCAACACGGCTGTTGAGTTCAGCTGCTGTTTGATTAGTCGGAAAGTTTTTAATGCTTTTAGGATAACAAATATATAGGCCTTACCTGCATCTTAGATCTGTTTTGTTCACATGATGCAACTGTTGTTTTTTATTTTCTTTACAAATTTGTAAAAATTAAAGAGAAAACAAAGCAAAAAGCATGCCAACATTTTAAATCAACTTGTTTCAAAGTAATTTTTCCTTAACAAAACATGTTAAACTTAAAGCAGGCTGTTCTCAGCTTCCCCACATAATTAAAAACAACATAAAGAGTGTTGCAGCAAACAGAAAAAAGATGATCAATATTAGTTTTTAGCTGTTGGTGAAAGGAAGCCACAACTAATTAACCATGTTAAGTCAAAAATCTTAAAGTTATTGTTTTTCAATTTCATTTGCTACAGCTGCATGTGCAAAAGTAACTTCTATGTTTACCTGTTTAATGGCTAACGGCAAAAATGTCGATCAAATTAAAATGCATTCAATATTTTCCGCAAAATAATTGCTAACTTTTTATGGGGACAACAAATTTTGCCTCATTTGACATGCGCAAAATTTTCTGTAATGCCGCATGGATTGAAACTCAAATTTCACAGTGCGGGTATCCTAAAAAATCTAACGCAATGCGGCAGCAAATTTCGCAGCAGTTGTTGAAATATTTACATGTAAGTTAACATATATGTTTTTATGCTAGTTTCATTCTTTTCCAGTTAATTTGTTAATTTAATTTGTTATTGCAGTATGGTCAAATCATTTTTGATTAATTAAGTTGGCATGAAGCTGGAAACAAAATAATTTTAGACATGGTCGGCTCAAGGCGGTATTTGGCCCAGTGTTTTATTTTGACTGCAAGTACTATGTTCAAATTGCCAACGATAGTTAATTGTGTATTAACAGGCCTAAAATAATAATTATCTTTCTTATATGAAGGAGTTTTAATATTTTATACTGGTATTAATCATTTTAGGATATAATCACTGGAAAATGGACTTTGAAAATGTTTTGCAATTCGACAATTATCATTGAACCCATTAAAACTGGCTATGAAGGGTATAATATATTTGAGAATAAATATATATACTCTTGATCAGCATCAATAGCTGAGTCGATCTAGCTATATCATTCTTCCGTCTGTCCGAATATATGATCGCACGGATCTCAGAGCCTCCTAGTGCCCGCTCAGTATGAGTTTGTTTCCGATAGTTGATACTTGCCCCGACCTCAAGCAATCGATAACAATCGATAATGAAATCCTATTTTGACCATATCTCTTAGGTTTTTAGAGCTTAAGTCATGTAGCTTCTTGAATAGAATTGTATGTCACGTGTTTGCGGAAGCTGGCGCAAATTGCACTAATTGAATTCTACCAACAGCATGCCAATTGCGAAAACAATATTTCTGTGCTGTGTGTATGTGCTGCTATTTTAATTGGTTTTTTTTATTAGGGTTTTTTCCAGTTATATTTTTCCAAATCAAGTTAAACGATTTGACGTGCATTTCATAAGTATATGCGAGCCGCACGTATATTATGCCTATAATCAATTTTTACACCTGAAGGTCAATGAATACTTTGTCAGTTATTAATATAGTATAAACGCATAATCCCTTTGACAGGTTCGACATGAACGCTAGCCTGCATATCTATTAGATAGAAAGTGATCTTGAAATATGGGCGACCTAAGATTGCTTATAGGAATTATAGAATAGGCTACTATTAAGATCTTCTGAACTTCAATACATTATTAACAGTTTGTCAGTTATAAATCGTTCAAGTGAACATACAGATTTATTCTTCATTATTCTTCATAATAACTATAAATAGTTCACACATATATTAAAATTATAGTGTCAGTATATTGTGACGACGGATGGAAATCACGCCCCATCCGACGAGCTTAAGCATAAGAAGCAAGAAGTAAACGACCCCTGAAGACCTATATACACCAGGGCTTCCTTAGCTAGTGGTACGTCAAGCTCAACGGCTAGGGCCGTACAAGCAAGCGGCGATTCACAGGGACTGGGCAAACACAAGACACACACTACAAGACGCACTTCAAATTACTTCCGCTTGCGCTTTCCGTCCGTTTCGCACACATCGGACTGCAAGGCAAATCTTTCTCCTTTATGCAGCCCTTTTCTGAATTTTAGTCGTCTTTTTCTTTTTCCACCTTTCGGTCGCTCTTCAACCTACATAACACAATCGCAACTCTGTCTCTTTGTTTACTTTTATTGGTTGTGGCTGACAGCGCGTATACGCAACGTCCTGCAATATTGAAAAATTCCTTTGTTGTCATCTGCGTAACTCTTTGACGTTGGCGTCGTTCTCGCTATACTTGTATACAAATTTGTATGTGTGAAGCCTTCTGTTGATGTGTGCGTTCGATATTCTGATCAGAAGTGCACGTTTGTTTTTCTGCTTGTTTGTCAAAGTTGGTCTATAAGTACATACATGAAGCAATCGTACTTTGTTTATTCTCCCCCCTTCTACACACAAGTTACTTCCAACACATATAATTTTCGAATACCATATTAAATAAATACAAATTTCACTTGCAATATTGTTTTCATTTTAAAGCTACACCCTTTAAAACTAAAATATATTATATAAGAGCACACTCACGTAATTACAAAAATAAACAGCCATAAAAAAAAACATAAAAAATAACCTCCTTAGCAGTCCAATTATCATTGGAAGGCCATAGACGCATCAAACCAATTATGGTTCACAACTTGACACAAGCAAGTCTTACTGTGAGGGGGAATTCATTAATATGTATGCAAATGAATTTCTGCAATATGTTATTTAAAATATCTATTGGAACCTTGAAAAATTTTAAATAAATTCACATAGCGAAGTTCACGATGACGAAGAGCAGGCTGCCAAGTCGGCATATTTAAGATCATTAATCAACAGAACTTGTAGTTTATGTGGCGTCTGGTTGCTGGAGGGCGCACACCTGCAGTGGCTTGAAAAAATGTTGTCCCCAAGTATTGGAGCCATGAAATACTTCCTAAAGACTTTTTTAATAGCTTAAGCGCATTGCTTGTTTTTATTAAAAACAAAAAAAAAAAAAACATATGCCCAACCATTTTGTAAAGCGCAAAACTTTGTCACCGCCATTGGAAAGTTTTTTGCCATCCCTGTCATGCCTGGCCAGCAGGCCGCCATCCACTACATAATATTTAATGACATCGGCTCTCACCGTGTTGACTTGCACCTACAGCTGCGGGGGGGACCGCCCCTTATGTAAATCTGATAAATTAAGTGCCACACGCTTTTCAGCCTTATATAGTTGTCCCTGGGGGCGTCCCAGGTGATTGAAAGCTGCCACCGGCTGTACGCTGCCATTTTGCCATTCTTGTGCTTCTTTTATTATTAATTTCTTGCCGCACAAAAATTTAAATGAAATATTTTGTTGGTCAGTCAGATTAGAATGAGAATGAGAGTGACATTTTGTACAGGACGGGCGGGTTTTTTTGGAATTTTTTGCTGGACGTATCTAAAAAATTCGTAAATTCAACGTTAGTATTATTTAATACTAATTCATTTAGTTCAGTAAAATAGAGTCGCTTTGATTTCGTTTTTAGTTTTTTTTTTCTGATAAGAATATATGTCTGATGTATTGTATTAGATGTATATTTCTATACTCGGTTCACACAAACAATGTGAGTAAATTCGGTTTCTGTATTGCTTGCCTAGTTGTCTGCTCGCCGGTTCGTATAAATAAAGATTTATATATATCCAATAGTTGTAAGGGTAAATTACACAAATTTGACGAGTGGCGTACCTATTAACACGTTTTAAGATGGATCTAAACGCTGTATTTGAAAAAATATGTAATTAAAAGACCAGATAACTGCCCATTAAAGCCCCTAAACGGTCTCGCAATATAGAATATAAATGAGAATTGAGTTTGTGTATGGTAAAACTAATTCTTAGACAAGTTTCATCCAATTTCTAGCCCCAGAAATCTGCTTTTTTAATGTTAATTTTTAAGTCCAGTCAGAGCGGATATGCAACAAATAAATACCAAAGACAGCATAATGCGCGGCACAACTAATGCAACCAAGCTGAAATAGAGGTGTCACAGAGCCAGCGTGGGGCCGGACTCTGAACACGGCCGGAGGCCAGCCGCACGTTATTTTAGTTTTTTGCTTGCCAAATGCAGCTCGAGCTTTACTTAAAAGCAAAACAAAATGCCCATTCCGGGGAAATAGTGTGTGGTGGGACTGGGCGTCATTAGGACAACAGGCACGGCTGAGCTGCAGGCGACTTCACATTTACCGGACGTGGTAAAGTGAAAACTTTATTTCACAATTCTCAGTTAGAGCATTTCTATTTCCGCTTTAGCCTGCAGACAGAGAGACCCAAAAATACGAAAGCCCAGCACCACACACATATCTAAATGGGGAGAGATAAATAAATAATATACATACATATAGGTGGAATGGTGTTTGTCGCCGGCATTTTAATAGTTTTGTTAGCCTCTCTTTTAGCCCTTTCCTGTCGCCAGGCGACAGGAAGTAACTTTTATGCGCGCTCTTAAAAGAGACTTTCGGGTGAGAAGTTAGGAAAATGCTCGCGACTAAATTGCCGCTGGCTGTGTTTAAATGTATTTTGTGGGCCTTTTTATTTGGTAAGCTGCAGCCTACCGCTCCCGTCTAGACCACCTACCACCCTGCAGACCTACTCTCAAATATAGGCCCCATTACTAGCAGGCACTGAGAGTCCGCCGTCTGGCCAATAATGAAACGTAATTTCATTTGCCACTGAGCTACCCTTGCTGACTGTCAGTGGTCATGCCAAGAAAAACACCAAAACCAAAGCAATGCCTAGTTTTTGCCTGCGCTTTTGGCTGTTTTTTCTTATTTTTTGCGAATTTCTCAGTCTGGTAATTGTTCCGGGCACAAAGAGTGGATTTAAAGTTGAAATGTCTGGCCACTTCGCTTAGGTCTCGGCTAACTATCAACCTTTTTGTTGCTCTGCAATCTGCTAAGCTTGGATAAAAGAAAAACAGATGGTAAAATACATCAAAGAACGCTATTGCGAATGTTTTCAGTATTGTCAAAATATTTACTGCTTTAGATTCAGTTGGGCTTTTTAAAGTTATAATGTATCCAAGTGTATCTGCATGTTCGTAGTTGGGTTGGCATAACGGTGAATTCGTACTGGCTGAGAAGGATCGGAATTGTTCATGCACTTAAAGTTTAAAGATTTTCATTACAGCAATACCTTAAGTTACGCTTAAATTATTTAATTCGGAAACGAATTTAGTTTTGTAGTAAATTTGCAATATGTGAGTCCATAAAAAATATGAACATGAAGTCTTCTGTTGTGTACATAGGTTCTACTACGTCAGCCGTACTCTCCCCCTTCGTGCATAATCAATATTTTCCGTATCAGTATTTTAATTTTATTTTTATACCTTTGCAGAGGGTATAATAATTTTGTCGTGACCTCATAAAGTATATATATTCTTGATCAGCATCAACAGCCGAGTCGATATAGCCATGTCCGTCTGTCCGTCTGTCTGTTTCTATGCGAACTAGTCCCTCAGTTTTAAAGCTATCTTAATGAAACTTTGCAGAACTCCCTCTTTCTGTTGCACGCAGCACATTTGTCAAAACCAGCTGGATCGGACCACTATATCATATAGCTGCCATAGGAACGATCGCTCGAAAATTAAGTTGTTGATTTAAAACCCTTTTTATTTTTCAAGATATCTTGCCCAAACTCGGCATTAACTATTTACCCTGTGCTTTTTAGATACGGGCAAATCACTATAAGCATTATGAAAAGGTTGGGTCTGTAAGGGTATTAGATCTTCGGCATGCCGAAGATAGCCTTTCTATCTCGTTTTAATTAACCTTTTTGGAAAATGAAAAA